ATCAAAAGCTGTGTTTTAAACTCTTGGCCAAGCAGTGGTAGCTTGTAGTTTGCATCTGATGAGCTCCAGGGGCAGCTGAGAGTGGGCTGTCTTTGACCATCTGGAGGTTTCAATGGGCTTCACCCATCTCATGCCAGCCTGACTTGCTGGAGTTAGGGTCATTGCGCTGAGACCCTCCAAGATGGTGCTCAACGGAGCTGTGCTCTGCAACCCCCTGGGCCCCTCCTGCAGGTGCATTTGCTTTTTCGATTTGATGCTATTTTTCTTACCCTCTGTAGGCTCTCACACGCAGAACTATTATTACTTGCTTGTTACTGCATGTTGCTGATTCATACTCATAGGAAAAAGTAATTTTATCTTCAACACCTCTTCCCTGTCATTTAAGACATATGTTAATGAAAGACAGATTTTGGCATCTGCTCTTCTCTGTAGCTCTGAGGCCACAATATAGATTCATTATAAATGAAGATGCAACTGTTATTTTACTTCTATTTATATTTATAACTACACCAAAACCATCTTGCGGGTACCTTTGTGCCTCTCAAATCCCAAACCATATTCCAAGAAATGCTCAACATTTCATGCTTGAATTGGTATTAATGTGGTATTAATGTACATACAATGTTTTAAATAAAGATGTTTTCACTCATATTTTATTACTGACACCTCCTGATTTCACATATTTTAGATTATGCTAGGGCTGAATCCCTCGGAAGACATTTTAAGGGCTTTTTTCCCCCCTTGCAGTACAGGGTGGTTTTTTCTTTAAGTGAGGAGTATGCGAGTGATGAGTGCTCTGCCAGGAGGGATGCCAAGTGCAAGGCTGAAGCCTGGAGGGGGTGGGGCGAGAGCAGAATCAGGCAGAGGCAGGATGCTGAAAAGAACTGATTGAAAGCGTTTTGCTTTGTCATTCCTCTCGGTTCCTTTCTTTCTCTTCCTTCCCAATTTGTAACTGTGGACAAGTGCAGCCTACTTATTTGATAGAATGACTGGATCCAGAATGAGCCATAACCCTGAAGGTCATCTGATGCAAACTCCTTTCCAGTGCTGTAGTTCTTTCTCTGGTTGATTCAGGAGCTCTCTTCCTTCTCCAGTGACATCCCCAATAGTATTCAAGACTATCAATTAAAAGTGCAGTGATGAAAGTAGAGGTTTAGGAATCAGACCTTTCTGGGTCAATTCTGGCTCTGCCACTTCCTAGATGTGATATCCTGGGCAAGTTACCTAACATCTCAGAGCCCCAGTCTAGTCTGTTAAATGGTTATCATAAAAACAAATTCATAGGCATTTGAGGATTAAATGAAGTGATGTGCATAGTATACACACAACTTGGCATTCAGAGCTAAGAGTAGCTCAGCAATTCAGTAGGAAGTAGGACCCAGGCTTCCTGTCTAACTCCGAGGCAACATTTTCCCCATAGTACGATACTGTCTTTTTTACAATGTCTCATAAAACCTTCGAGAAAGTATCTGTTGCTAGAGTACTGTGTGTGCCGCCTTGTAGGTTGTAAATGCTGTTATTAATAACAATACTTCACATATATTCAATGCTCTGGAATTTACAATGCATTTTCCCAAGTGGGGAAAATACCCACGACAACATGTAGTCTACTGATGACTAATAGAGGCAGGAAGCAGGAGGAGGGAGGCTTTGAAAGAGGTCCATTAGTGATGCAAATGTGAAGTTATCTGCACTTGTGAGGAGCATAATAAACATCAAAAGCAATTAGAAGCAACAATGCGTGATCTATTCTGCTTCAGAACTTTGATGAGTTGAAAAACTGTAGGAATAGGAGTTTTAGGGTAAGAATTTAACTTGTCTGAAGTTTAACAATCCAGATGGTTTGGACGGCTTTAAGTTTTGCCCCCAAGAGGACAGTTATCTGCATGTGAAGTTTCACATACAAGCTAGAGAACAGCACCAACTTAGAAGCACATGATGGTAGAAACCGGGATGTATTCACAATTTGGAGACATAGCATATGGAACTGAGACAGGCAAAGCAAATAAGTTCTCAGAAGTCAATGTTAAATGGGTGTTTCAATACAGACAAATGTGTCATACCGAATGCAAAACTTTTAATAATAAAAACTGTTATCTTGACTTTCTCACAACCTTCTGAAACAGTTCTTCATGTGTGAGGACTTTTACATTTGGACAATGCTCAAAAGTGAATTTTTAGAAATGGAGAAAAATGGAAGGTGCATTTTAGACATAATATATTTCATTGTTTCTGTATTGTAAGGAGATGAAGGCATATACCTTTTTCTGCTGGAAAGAAAATGGTCCTTTTGAAATTCAGTTCTCTCAGAAGATGAATTTTTAAATATCAAACTCTGCTTAACCAACTGGTCCCAGCTTTATGGATGTGAGGGGAAAATTAGAATTTCATGCAGTTATCAAATATTTTAAACTAATACCCAAGCAGTTACATTTGTAACACTTCATTATTTCTTAACATTTATAGGCAAAATTCCAAATGGATCCTCCCTTTTCTTTCTCTGCCAAAATCTACCTCTCTGTCTAGCAGCAAATCCTAAGGAGAAGGTTGATTCAAGTAGGCGAAGAGAGAGAAAGACTGACCAGACAAGCAGAAGACACTGGTGGAAATGGCCCTGTGAGCAGCCATGTGGAATAGGAGGACTATCCTGGACAGGGCCCAAAACGGACCAGTTTGTGTCTCACAGTCCAAATTTGGTTGATGTATTTTTGAAGATTCTAAAGGTTAACTCACATGCTGTAATACATAACAGAAAGACACGAAGCTGAATTTTACTGTGCCAGTCAAGAGGCTGGCTCAAATCCGCTATTTAGAACTGAGAGAGACAGTACAATTTACATGTGTGAGAATGTGAGAATAATTTTACCTTCTGTTGTTTTTAAAACCACCTTGGGCCATGATTTTTAAATTGAGACACAAGAAGATCTGCTGGGGTTCCCATAGCAACATTAACTTATCTAAACTGCCCTTGTTGTATGTAATACCTTCATTACTAGTATGACTTTTAAACGTACACTTTAATTATGAAATACAATGGAGCTAAGAGTCTCAGGCAAATTTTAGCATCTACATTTACTGACTTACGCATGCTTAAACAAAAACCTTGAAAACTGTCCTTCTGAGGATTTGCCATCCAGGCAAGTTGTGTAAGAACCTTTATGTGGTCTTCCTTGCCACTGATCTCTGACCTCATTCCATTCCAATCTATAGAAAACACCTTAGTCAATCTCTCTCAATCCATTTATAACACATCATGTCTAGGATAAAACAGAAACAAACTGACCTCAGATGGCCCTAGTTCAGACACTAGATGTTAATATACCTGTTATACTAGGCTGTCTATAAGCAGACCCCTCCCTATCTTTCCTCCAAAATTCCTCATCATTGATGTCTTCTCACCATCTTCTGAGAACATACATTCAACTAGCCTGAGGCCCACCTCTCCCCAGAAGCCTGGTTCTTCTCCATTCCTTTTCAGAGCTGCTCTCTCTCTCTTTTTGGAACGATTACTACTTCTACCCTCACTGTATGATGTATTGACTGTGATTGGGCAGCATTCCTCCCTTTAAAAAATTTTTAAAAAAATAACAGTGGCTTGATTTTCCTTTGAAGAACTTCTTCCATTCCATATATTTGATGGCACCATCAATTGAGCTGCCCTGCCCTATCAAGAGATGAATCCATGACCCAAGTTCGACTGAATACATTCTTAAAATTGAATTTTAAGAGAACTCAAAAAGAAAAAAGTTGGAAATGAACTATCTCCTTGATGGTCCTTTCAAGAGATTGTTCATTTCATCTGAGGAGCTCAAGGGCCATCTAGTTCATAATTGTGTGATAAAACTTGTTTTAAGTGTAGGTTGAAGCTTATTTTGAATGTATATTGAAACTTGTTTTTAAAACTCAGATGTATGCCTGCTTTCCCGCCCAAGCCCAGTAGTATACTTTTAGTAAACAAGTTCACATACCAAAAGAAAACCGCAGAGTCATGGTGCAGACCCTCTGGCCCCATTTCCTGCTCCACTCCCCTAGTAATCTCGCATTCCAGATGTCCCAACCGGTTCCACCCAGCCCGCCTGACCGTTGATGGTCAGCCGCGACCCGCGACGATACAAACCAACCAATTCCAAACGCCCCCGTACCCAGTAGGAGAAATTACCCAATCATGTGCAAACAAGTTTAAAGTTCTTTCCCCTCCCTTGTAACTGTGTATATAAGCTGCTTGCTGCGCTGGGTCGGGGCTCTCGTTCCTGTACCGCTGTGCCGGTTACGGACATGAGCCCAGACTCGAGCCTGAATAAAGACCCTCTTGTGATTTGCATCGGAGCTGGCTCTTTGGTGGTCTCTCGGATTCAGGATTCGGGTACAACACATCTAGATTTCTGTAGCTCATAATCAAAGTCTCCTAGCTGTTAAGTTCTATTTGAGTACTTGTTTGTATATTATCTTAGATCATGATTTAGAGATTTGGGATATGTACATTTTGCTTTGCTGGCTAGATCTTGTTTATACTACCTGAAAACAGGACGGGATCTATATTGATTGTATTATTTCACATAATTCAGCACTCAGTAAAAACTGTGTAAGGAATAAAAGACCAATCTTAAAAATTCAATTTTTGCAAAGTACAATTTGCAAATCAACTTACTTTTTTTTTTGAAGCAAGGGGAGGTAAATAATTTTTTTAAAAAATAAAGTATCTTTTTAATTTTATTTTTATTTTATTTTAGAGTCTCACTCTGTCGCCAGGCTGGAGTGCAGTGGCATGCTCATGGCTACCGCAGCCTTGACACGCTTGGCTCAGACGATCCTTCTGCCTCAGCCTTCCAAGTAGCTGGAACTACAGATGCATGCCACCATGCCCAGCTAGTTTTTGTGGTTTATTGTAGAGATGAGGTCTCATCAAGTTGCCCAGGCTGGTCTTGAACCCCAGCAATTCTCTTGCCTCCGCCTCCCAAAGTGCTGGGATTACAGGCATGAGCCATCACACCGGCCATAAATAAATTTTTAACTGCTACAATTTAATAATTACCTTGGGTATATCAGTTGTCTTAAAGAGAGCTTACCACAATTGTACATCTAAGAATAGCCTGAAAATAATGTTAGCAGGGGCCATACTTCCCGAATTTTAAGAAAGGAAAGAGAAACTGAAATTTCAGACATCAGTCTCTGAATTAAAAACAACAACAACAACAACAACAACAAAACCACTTTGGGGAAAACAGACAGCAACAAAGCAAAACAAACAGTACACCTTAATCTTGGGCTTGTTATAGCTTTTCCTGGAAACAAGGCATGCTACTTCTCTGAAATGGAGAGAATTCGACTGTGTTTGGGAACTGATATAGTAAGCATAATGTAGAAATAAAGTAGATAATTTTTTCCACTTGCAAAAAATGGCAAATTATGGTTTCTTAAAATTATGACTTATATCAGTAATTTGACTGCTTATAAAATTCAAGATATAAGCAAAATTCAAGATATAATAAACCTAAACAAGCTTGGACATTTCAAAACAGAAAAAGCTGCACTCTTCTAAATCACTTACATGTGCTTAAAATGCACAAAATTGGTCACCTATGATAAAACAGCAGGAAACACATATTATTTTCTTATTCCCGTTGGAGAAGTAAAAAATTTGTAGTAGTCTTTGACTAGTATAGTCTTCTGGTTTTGTATCTTAACATGGTACATAGTTCAGTCATGAGAAGAGAGTGTAGATACCAATTTGGAACTATTTTGAGTCCAGTGCAGTGGTTTCTGGAATTTGCCTTGAACCCACACTCGATGCATTTTTACTTGTTTTTTCCTATTAACTTGTAAGCGACGATCAACCAGATTTTGCTTTTCATCTAAACCGGCCTTGCAGAACATACTGTGGACTTCCCCTGTGGGACAGAAACGGCAATCAAAGATATGACATGTGATTGGGGGTGGGGGAGGTCAGGAACAATGAAACACTGGTAGAATGATCGGCCATCTAAATTGCATTTACACCGAGAAATACTCGCTAGTATAACTTGGTGAAGGAAACCTGTGAAACTAAGTGGGTTTCTTCTACTTCATAAAAATACGCTGAGTATAAACAGGCTAGCACAGCAGGCAGAAACAGATATGCAAAGCTATTGGCTGCAGCTTTCAATATTTTGAAAAACCCTTTCTGAGTTTTTGTTGGCTTACAGAAACCCAAAATGGTAGATTATAAAAGTATTCATATAAGTTTGAGGAAATCCTTGAAGGCAAAATTCATCTGGTACTGGCAGACATGGTTTTTAAAAATGAGAAACTGATAAAAGATAAATAATTGTCTATAGACTTATAAATTTCTTTCCTTTGGCTATAGCATATTATCAATTTTTGTCAATTTCTGGGCTAACAATATCTCTAAAATGGAACAGACTTCACCTTCATTGAGTATGAGGGTGAAACAAGCGACTCTTTAAAGCAATTTTAACTAGAAAAGATTATAGGGCAAAAAGATCATTTTCAAGTTTTTATGTAGAACAGTTACAAGCACCAAAGTATGAAGACATTCAATGTTTAATCAATGACTGGAGCCTCATTTTTATAGCTTGTAGCTATAATCAACAAGAGTATTTACAGCTAATTATTGCTTCTTGTAGATTAGCATACCTACCTTTGGTAAAGAAATAAGCTCTGGTACCATCTCCTCGAACATAAAAATTTTCAGATAAACAATGTCCTAAAAAAATTTGTAAAAAGAGAAACTCAGTGTTCCTTAAACAAACAAACAAAACAAAGTAAAACAACTTGACAAAATATAAACAAGGCATTATTTAGAACACATTAAATTAACCCCAAACTAGCCGGGTGCAGTAGCTCACGCCTGTAATTCCAGCACTTTGGGAGGTGGAGGCAAGAAGATTATTTGAGCTCAGGAGTTCAGGACCACCCTGAGCAACACAGTGACACATCGTCTCTATAATAAAACAAAAATCAGCCAGGTGTGGTGGTGCATGCCTGTGGTTCCAGTTACTTGGAAGGCTGAGGCGGAAGGATCATCTGAGCCCAGGAGGTCGAGACTGCGGTGGCCATGAGCAGCATGCCACTGCACTCCAGTCTGGGTGACAGAGTGAGACTCTGACTCAAAAAAAAATTAACCCCAAACTGAATTACCCTTTTTAAAACGAAGCTGAGTCTTATCATATCTTCCATAGTCTCGAAATAACAGCATTCCCCCAGGTTTCAGTAGCTTGGACAATCGGTTCACAACACCTTGCATCCTTTGAAAACAAAGTAGATACCCTGTTTGTAGAAATCTTGTCTTATAAGCCAGATTTAACTTTCTTGAAAACAAAACAAGAAAAGCTTGACAAAGTCAAAAAAACTAAACCACAAACCTAAGGGCAGCAAAACCAAAAAACGTCATGAAGAACAGAAACACCAATTGCTAAATGACCAGATTCAAAAGGCTTACAGCAGTGCGTTCTGTGGTCCTGCGGATCTGTCTCTAACTTCAATAATGTTTGGACAGAACAGACCCGGGGACTCCCTCTCTTGCAGCCTCCCACTGCCCTCCAATCTCCTCTCCACTTGCAACTTCCGAGACCACCTTCTCGGCCACCTCCTGTTTTTGGGACCAGTGACCACCGTTTTTTGCGGTTAGCTCCTTTTTGTCGACCAACCATGAGCTCCCAGGTTCGCCAGAATTATTCCACCAAGGTGGAGCCAGCTGTCAACCGCACGGTCAATTTGCATCTGTGCCTCCTACACCTACCTCTCTCTGGGCTTCTATTTCGACTGCGACAATGTGGCTCTAGAAGGCGTGGGCCACTTCTTCCGCGAGTTGGCGGAGGAGAAGCACAAGGGTGCCCAGCGTCTCTTGAAGATGCAAAACCAGCGAGGCGCCATGCCTTATTCCAGGATATCCAGAAATCCTCTCAAGATGAGTGGGGTAAAACCCTGGATGCCATGGAAGCCGCCATGACCTTGGAAAAGAACCTGAACCAAGTCCGTTTGGAGCTTCATGCCCTGGGATCCACAGACCCCCCATCTCTGTGACTTCCTGGAGAACCACTTCCTAGATGAAGTGAAACTTATCAAGAAGATGGGTGTCCACCTGACCAATGTCTGCAGGCGGGCTGGGCCTGAGCCTGGGCTGGGTGAGTATCTCTTCGAAAGGCTCACCCTCAAGAACGACCAGGGAGCCCAGTGGCCTCTGGGGAGCCCCTCTCAGTACCAGGGCTTCTTCTGCCTGAACCTCCCCTTCCAGCCACTAGGCAGCTTTTTAACCACCCTGGAGCCCTCTCACAAGTCCTGGACCAAATGAAAATAAAGCTTTTTGCAGCAACAAACAAACAAACAAAACAAAAATAAAACAACAACAAAAAAAAGGCTTACAATATCAAGAAATCACCCAAATGACCAGAGCTGAACTATAAAACCACAAATGTAGCCTGATATTTACAGCAAATTAAGGTAGTTCTTAGGTAGACAAAAAATGACAGTGCTTCATTTTCTTTGCAAGATAAAAAATATGCCAGAGCCATCCCAAATTGTACATATCTAAACAGGGAACATCCTTCCTTCAAAACTAGCTCATGATACTTTTGACGTCTTTATTTAGTTCAAAGGTGCCATCATTACTCTCCTTGAAAATTTTCTTTTCTTCCACTATCCTCTCTGTGCAGTCATCAAATTTGATGTTCTTTTTTTTTTTTTTTTTTTAAGTGGCATCTTTGATATTTTCTCTTTTTGGTTTCTCACTGGTGCTTCCTTAGTGCAAACCCCTATTTCCTTAGCTTGGAATCAAAATCACTTCCTAATGTTTTATTTTTCTCCATGTCAATTCTTCCTGCATATTGTCTATTAGTTATTCTCCTTAAAATGATGGTTCCTGCTACTTGGAAGGCGGAGGCAGAAGGATCGCCGGAGCCCAGCAGGTCGAGGCTGCGATGGCCGGGAGCGGCCACTGCACTTCAGTCTGGGCAACAGAGTGAGACTCCCAACTCAAAAAAAAAAATATGATGGTTTTGTCAAATCATCCCCTTGTTTTAAACAATTTCATGATTTTAGCTGGGCGCAGTGGCTCACGCCTGTAATTCTGTGCTCAGAGGTTCGAGAACAGCCTGAGCAACATGGCGAGACCTTGTCTCTATGATAAGTCATAAAAATTAGCCAAGCATGGCTGTGCATGCCTGTAGTTCCAGCTACTTGGAAGGTTGAGACAGAAGGATTGCCTGATCCCAGCAGATCGAGGTTGCAGTGGCCGTGAGCATGCCACTGTATGCTAGCCTGGGCGACATAGTGAGACTCTGAGTAAAAAAAAAAGTCATGATTTTAATTCATAGGACAAAACTTTAATTTCTTAGTTGAGCCCTTAAGATCTCCTACTACTGACCCCAATTAATTTTTCCAACAGCTTTTCCATCTGAAACATCTCCCCTTACCAAATTGGTATATGTCTTGTTTGGAGCAGTCTATGTCTTTGCTTACATGATTACCCTCAAAGAATTCTCTCCTTACTCTCTGCCAAATTACATTTTATTCACACTGTAAGCCCCAGTTCAACTGTGGGAAGTCTTTGCTTTCTTCCTTTTACTATTTGTTCTATTTATTTGGTTTCTAGTCAAATACAACCCCTTATAGCTGTTCTTGATTTGGCATTTTTGGCTAAATGTTCATGGTCTTAAGTGTGATTATGGGAAAGATTTCATCAATGCTGAGTGACTGCCATTAGCTGCCTACAGAGAGGGATTCATGGAGCTCATTAGGAATGACAATCAGAGTCCAAAATCGATTATCAATGTCTGCCATGGGCAGAGAATGGTAAATGGCAGGCTGTGTGCTAAGTCCTTGCTGTCTCTGCTTTATACAAGCTACTTAAAGCTGCTAAGTTTGTCTTATTTGAAAAAAATGAGGAATTTAGATCAGATAATCTGTAAATTCCTGTCAACTGAAACATTATGCAGTGTAATAGTTAGGTGAAAGCCAGATTATGTCACGTTATGAAGGAAGTAGACAGGGAGAAAATGAAAGCAATTATAAACAAAAGAGAAATAAGACAAAAAGAGGTGGCATGATTAGATTAACATTTCTTTAAAAAAGAAAAACTGGAACACAGATGCATTTTAAAAGGAAAAAATAAAAGTATTTTTGTGTTTATTTTATTACAGGTTATTTTCACACTGTGTTTCTATCCTTAGGCTTCAGCAATAAAAGAAAACAACATCTAAACTTTAAAATATTCACTTTCAGGATAAATGTTTTATGTACAGAGCAAACTCTCTTTCTGTAATTATTAGCGAAGCAAGCATGAAACTAAAATGCAGAAAAACAAAGAACCGAGTACTTTAACATGTAGCCAACTCCTCCTGGAAACCCTTTCCTAGCTGGGCTCGGTGGCTCAGCCTGTAATCCCGCGCCTTTGGGAGGCTGAGGTAAGTGGATTGCCTGAGCCCGCGGGTTCGAGACCCACCTGGGCAGGCAACACCTCATCTCTACAATAAATCAAAAAATCAGCTGGGCGTGGTAGCACATGCCTATAATTCTGGCTACTTGGAAGGCTGAGGCGGAAGGATCGCCGGAGCCCAGCAGGTCGAGGCTTCGGTGGCCGGGAGCGGCCACTGCACTCCAGTCTGGTCGACAGAGTGAGACTCCAACTCAAAAAAAAAAGAAATCCTTTCCTCTCAACCATCCTTTAATGTCTGGGGCTGTGGAGAAAGGCAAGGAGTGGGAGCTACTTTTCTCTATCATCTCGTCTTGGTTCCTAATGCATTTCTGGAGCCCATTCCTGGTAAGTGCAGGTAGGCATGAGCTGGGGAAGAGATAGACAAGACCACAATGGTACAGAGCCCCTTTTCTTTCTTTATCCTATTTGAGTCGCCTCTGCTGTCTTTACCTACCTCTGGGCAGAGGGGGTGGAGAAGGAAAAGAAGAGATTAAAAAATGAGATTTACTAACTGCCTACTCTATGCTTAGGATCTGTAGTATTTTATACTTTCTCTAATTTCAGTGACAGGCCATCTTTTGTAGCCTCCTACAATTTATTCCCATCCATTTAAGCTGGCATCCCCAGACTCAGGATCTAGCTGAATTGCCTGCCACTTATTTGTGCCTGAATTTTCCAAGCGGTCAAAGATGCTACTTTTCTGGGACTGAATCCATTGCCATAGACCCTAAAGACACTGCCTTGCCTTTTATTTACAACTGCCCCCCTTCTATTCATTCACTTTATTTTTAGCTAATTTCCATGTAGGTAAGGACGTGGCTACTGACATGATACATCTGAATTTATTTTATAATAAATATAATGAAACACTGCACTATAAAAGCATTCTTCCAAAGACATCTGCTTCCCCTTCTTTTTAACATTCAATTCAAATCATGGGAAAATACATCATTTAAACTCATTTCAAATAGTCTTCTGGTGGTCATATTTAGAATTTAAATGTTTCCTGTGATGGGTGTCCAATAGGAAATCTTGCTCTCTATCCTGCTACCCCATCTTTTTACCTATTCATATAAGGAAACAAAATACATAGATGCCATCTTTCTACTCGTACTTGAACAATGGTAATAATCTAAACAGATCAGCAGAAAGAAAAAGGTTATAGAAACTGGGAGGAAAAAGTAGCTTCATGGAACCTGATATATCTCACCGGGTGCAAATGTATCTTCCTTTCGGAATTACTTGGAAATCTAATGTATTCTTCCATAAGTAATCAAAGTGCTCATCTTTGAATGGGAAGTAAAAGAACTACAAAGGGTCCTAGAGGTCTTGTAATTGCAAAGAAATAAGTACATCATGACTTAGTTTCTGTGGGAAAGGGTCACACTCATCAAACAAAAAGTGGTTGATGCCAAATCTGTACCTCCTAACAGGAAATTATGAACACCCAATTTTTAAATTTTTATTTATTTTTTATATTTTTTGAGTCAGAGTCTCACTTTTCCACCTCAGCCTTCCAAGTAGCTGGAACTACTGGTACATGCTGCCATGCCCAGCTAATTTTTTATTTATTGTAGAGACAAGGTCTCACCAAGTTGCTCAGGCTGGTCTCGAACCCCTGGACTCAGGCAATCCTCTTGCCTCCACCTCCTGAAGTGCTGGATTACAGGCGTGAGCCACCACGCCCGGCTGAAAACCCAATTTTAAGAAACCTTATGAAAGCATAAGCCCTGACACTTACCACACATGTGCTTTAATACATAGAAGACGGCCAGATTTTAAGAAAGGTAATCATTTTAATTGCTAGTAACATCTCTTTATGTTTTTTCTCTGGAGAAAAGATACATTTATAATTTAAAAACACTGTATACAGACATAAACATTTAGGTTATAAATATTTAAATGATGGCACCAGTCTAAACTTAGATCCTAAAGGTCCAAGGATAATCCAGCAATTCTCAATAACCCCTAATTCCCTAGTGTGCTTCTGTAAAACACATTTTTTTTTTTTTTTTGAGTTGGAGTCTCACTCTGTTGCTCAGACTGGAGCGCAGTGGCTGCTCCCGGCCACCGCAGCCTCGCCTGCTGGGCTCCGGCAATCCTTCCGCCTCAGCCTTCCAAGTAGCTGGAACTACAGGCACGCACTACCATGCCTGGCTAATTTTTGATCTATTGTAGAGATGAGGTCTCGCCAAGTTGCCCAGGCGGGTCTTGAACCCGCGGGCTCAGGCAATCTACTCACCTCAGCCTCCCAAGGCATGGGATTACAGCACCGAGCCCAGCTGTAAAACACATTTTGTAAAAGTCCAACAACGGGTCTGTGCGAGGCCAAACAAATCCACAGCCCACCTCTTCATGAACTTTCAGGAAGACACTACTAAACTAGAGATGTTTGTTTCTGATCACCAAGTACAATTTTCCTCTTGGGAGTCTATTAGGCTGTTCTCAATTTGTAATTTCCTTGAAGCACTGTCACTTTTAATAGGTATGTGTCTTGCCAGAATATGTTCACTTCATTCTGACAGTGACAGAAAGTTCACTAATGAAGTAGTTTGACCAGTTTCTTTCTTAAAGTCGGAAGAAAGGAAAAACTGCATTTAAAAGGCTGCATATTATACATAATGTCGTTCACTAAATAATAAATTCAAAAATTGTCATTTTTGCTTTGATAGTTCTGAAAACCACTACCGATAAAGGAGCTTTCCACATTTGCTTTGCCCTTTCATCTTCATTTACCTGTCAGGATGAATAGAAGAGAGCACAAAGACAAGGAGGATGACATCCAGGATCCCATCTGGAAAAGGGTAGGGTAAACCATCATCACATACATCATGAACAAAGGCAGAACACTGGGCTGCTCTGTAGGACAAGTGCGCCTGTCATGTAAAGGAATAAAAAGTGAAAGAGGAATTACTAGACTTCCGGGATTTTTAAAAAATAAAAAGGTCAAATTTTTAACCTTTTCTCCCAAAAGCCTTCCCTCTGTAAATCTGAACACGCTGTTTCCAATTCAGTATTGTTGGCTTATTTTAAGCTGCCCCAAAACATTAAGGCTAGTACTTGGACTTGATAACAAATATTCTTCATAATCTCTCTTTAAATTTAAAAGTGGAGGAGGGTAGGCTTTATGAGTTAGTAGGTAGCATTGTTAGAGGCCTATCCTGTGTTGTTTCTGAACTTAAAGAAGTTCTCTTTATACTATGGTTATTCATGGGCAGCCATATACTCTGAATTTTGTGGGTCAGTGCCCTTCCTGGTCATCCCTTTTATACTGTTGGCCTTTCTGGGTATACCAGTCCCTTGAGAGCTATCTTAAATTCAAAACAACTTCTATTGTTTCAGGATAATATCCTAGGCATCAGTTGATATGATTCCCAGAAGCAGTAAAAGCTCAGTTAAAATGGTCACAGATAACATTTGATCCAGAAACATTTCAAAAGCAAATAAATTAGACCTTTCCATGGGCTCTCTTTAAAGAAAATACAAGGCATACCTTTACTAGCTCCACAGCTCCAGAAGCAAAATCACAACAATAAAGAAAGGACTCCGGAAAGTTCCTATGGAAATGGAAGAAATATTTAAATCTGGAGTCCAGATATGCTCAAACCAAGAAGAGAGGAAACTGTAGGTTGACTTTATTTTTAAATTATTATTATTATTTTTTTGAGTCAGAGTCTCACTCTGTTCCCTAGGCTGGAGTGTAGTGGCCCGATCATGGTTACTGCAGCCTCCATCTGCTTGGTTCAGTGATCCTTCACCCTCAGCCTTCCAAGAAGCTGGAACTATAGATGCGTGCCACCATGCCTAGCTAATTTCTTGATTTACTGTAGAGACGAGGTCTCACCAAGTTGCCCATGCTGGTCTTGAACCCCTGGACTCAGGCAATCCTCTCACCTCAGTCTCCCAAAGTGCTGGGATTACAGGTGTAAGCCATCAGGTGGTTTGATTTGTTAATAAGTATTTCTTTAATAGAATTTTGAATGACCCTTGGCTTGTTTTTTTCTTTTTAAGTATTGTTATCTACACTGGTGTGTGATGCTTTGGTGTTGCTTCTGAACCAGTACTGTCTCAAACACTTACCATAATTACAGGGTATCTCTCAAACTCCCGTCCTGATTTTAAGGTCTTCCATTACTTGGGCCTGTCTGCCTTCTAACTTATCCTCCCACACAGGAAACCTTCAAAGCCATCCGTCAGCATCACTCTCCACCTTTCTTCTCTGTCTACCCCCCACCTCCCCTGCATGGCCCACAGCTCCTTGTAGCTCAGCCAATTTCTACCCTTCTTCAGGGATTCTCAGAGCTCTGTGTTCTTGGTGCTTCATTCCTCTTCCTTTCTGTATAACACATTTGGCCTCTCACAGAGACTGATGCCCTAATAGGGCAGAAACACATGCATTTTTTTAAAACAACATGCTTATACAACATCTAGAAAAGAGCAAAGTACGAATATATTAATTCATAGTTATCTTTTCAAGTTATTGTCAAACATTTATTGAGCCTCATGTATGTACCAAGCATTAGGATACAAAATAGTAAATGAAAATATCTAATAAAATAATAACAGTGTGGATTTTGGAGCCAAATAGACCAGTGTTTGAATACAAGATTTGCCACTTATTAACGCTGTGAATTTTACTTAACTACTCTAACACCCAGTTGCTTTATTTATAATATATACATTCAATTTGGGAAGGGAGTGTTTACATATATGATTTTTTTTCTAGAAAGCAAGATTTATTGAGAGGACAGAAAACCTCCCACAGAGGTTACCCCCCTTTTATTTTGAGACAGGGTCCTGCCATGTTGCCCAGACTGGCATCGAACTCCTGGGCTCAAGTGATTCTTCCACCTCAGTCTCCCAAGGAGTTGGGTCAGTAGCTTCCTCTGAACTTAGGTTCTGTCTGGCCTTTATTTGAACTTCAGTAATTGTGGCTGGGTCATGGTTATTCATGGGCAGGCATACACTCTGAATTTTTTAGGCCATTACCCTTCCCGATCATCCTGTGTGTGTTGGTGTCAAATAATCTTTGCATCATGTTGTATCATATGTGAACCATAGTAAGAGGTCAGTATGTCATTAAACAGTAATTGTAAGTATATTCCTGGCTTTCATGGATTTTATAGTCTAGTTGGGGACATAATTGTTTTTAAACAACTTCTATAGGGGTGTAGAGAGGGCTTGCACCCTGAGGTGAAGGGTGCAGGAAGTGACCAGAGGGGTGGCTCCCAAAATGGCGCCGGCACACCAGACAACAAAGGCTCTAGGTCCCGGCTTCCGTGAGCACAAGTCCCCAGATGCGTGAATTTCAAACCTTCCTGCGGGCCAATTTCAAACCTGGAAACCTCCAATCAGTAGCCAGCTTTGTTATGCGTCCAATAGGACCATAACACGGCTTGGCCCCACCCTACTCCCATGCAGCTCCTCCAATAGGAGCATAGCATGGTCCTTTCCGGCCCCTGTCAGGCTGATAAATACAGCCCTCTTCCCACAATGCGCTCTCTCTCGGTGTCTCTTTCTCTCTCGGTCTCTCTTTCTCTCTCTCTCTCTCTGTCGCTCTCTCCCTCTCTGCAGCTCTCTCCCCGCCTCTCTCTCACTTCCTCTCTCTCTCTTACTCTCTCTTTCTCTCTCTCTTTTCCTTTTTTCCCGTTACAGATCCCCTCTGTAACAGCCACTTTAATAAATCTCTTGGTCCTGGCCGGGTGTGGAGTCATTACTGGCGCCGAACTTCTTTCATGAGATGTAAGTCTTTTTTTTTGAGTTAGAGTCTCACTCTGTCACCCAGACTAGAGTGCAGTGGCTGCTCCCGGCCACTGCAGCCTCGACCTGCTGGGCTCTAGCGATCCTTCTGCCTCATCCTTCCAAGTAGCTGGAACTACAGGCACGTGCTACCATGCCTGGCTAATTTTTTGATTTATTGTAGAGATGAAGTCTCGTCAAGTTGCCCAGGTGGGTCTCGAACCCGTGGGCTCAGGCATTCCACTCACCTTGGCCTCCCAAAGTGCTGGGATTACAGGCTGAGCCACCGAGCCCAGCCGAGGTGTAAGTCTTAAAAGCTTTGAAGAAGGAGAACAGCATTGCTAAGTGAGAAGGGGGAGCGGAATAAGGGGTTAGAGATGGGAGTCACATGCCAGATATGAGAAGTAGAACTGAACCTGATGGCTCAAACTGGTGTATGGCAGGTTATAAAGGTGGCCCTTGACGCACATAATTAGGACTTCTAATTTGATTCAAGAGGCATTTAAAGCAAGGTGCACTTCAAAATAAACATGGAATACAAGCAAAAATTATGCATCTAGCAAAATCTCACCTAGGTTCAGATTACATCTTAAAGGCTACTCATTGATGAATGATTATGTTCACATGTAATTCATTAATTCTATACACTAGAGATTTGCATTCAATTGAAGATCAGTCCAAATAAGTTAAGGTATGGTGAACAGGCTTTTGCTATGAAAAGTTAACCAGTACCGAATCAAAGTTAAACATGGTGGTGCATGCCTGTGGTTCCAGTTACTTGGAAGGCTGAGGGAGTAGGATTGCCTGAGCCCAGCAGTTGAGGCTACAGTGGTCATAAGCATGCCACTGCACTCCAGCCTAAGCAACAGAATGAGACTCTGACTCAAAAAAACAAAAACGAACAAAAAACTTGCACTGCTTGGTTTTTTCTCACCCATCTCATATAAAAACAGCACTTTATTTCAACATGTACCCGTTATTTCCTAGGAAATTCATATAATTGTGACTTGTAATTTACTGTGTGGTCACATGTGTTTGACATGTTCTCAGTAAACACTCAGATGCATACAGCTCTATGTGAGTATGACAGTAAGAATAAGGACTCTAGAACCCAGACTGCCTCAAATTTGATTCCTGGCTCTATCACTGAGTTGTGTGACCTTGGGCTAGTTGCTTAGTCTTTCTTATCTCAGTTTCCTCATCTTTAAAATAGAGACAAACATGGCATCTAAGGTCTTTATGAGGACTGAATGGATTCATACAAAGTTCCCAGAAAGATGCCTGACACAGAGTAAGCACTCAATACATATTATTACAACTGTTGTTGCTATTTTTATTATTACAATTACTGTTAAAGGAAATTTGCTTCTGCCTCAGGGGAACTTAAAAAGTTAACATGGTGCTCTAAAAATTTATGTAGAACTCAAAATGCTTTTCTGGACACTGGTATATCTAGCTCATTATGAAAGGTCTGTAGTTTACCTTTGAGCAACATGTACCGAATACCCACAAGATACAGAATAGTCTAGGAGCTAAAAGAAAGCATGTGCCATTTGCCATGTGTCCTACCAGGGTGGCAGCATGACCTCTGAGACTGAATTCCCACTGCATCAGTAGCCCAAGTTGAAGTCTTGTGACCACCCAATGACTTTCCAGAGGCTTTCTGTAAAATCAGCTGACTGTCTTGGCCTTTCTCCCAGTAAGCAGGTGTAAATATCAGTACTACCACCACACCACCAAACACTCTTGGCAGGGGGTTTAAGAATTAAATGATCCTTGGAGAATGATATGACCTCTCAATTTCAGAGGTTTAATTATGGTAAAATATTCTGAAAATGTAAAACATTAATCCTATGCTCTCCAGTAGCAATAAAACATACTTTCTTAGGTGGAAGAAAAAAGTCTAATCCTCCCTTTGGAAGGCTAATCACTGGTTGCCTTTTAAAGATGAATTAATTATCTCAGGTTATTGAGCTACAAGGATTTCTAAAACATAGGTGTGAGGCAAAGAAAGACACAACCAAGAAGATAGAGTTAGGGTGTGAGGAGCCAAGTGCTTGCAATTATTAACTGGAGGGAGAAGAAGAGAGAGAAATATACAACTAACAAGTAGGGAATCAGAGATATTAATCAGTCAATATGTATTGAGACTGGGTGTGGTGGCTCACACCTATAATCCCAGTACTTTGGGAGGCAGAGGTGGGAGGACTGCTTGAGCCCAGGAGTTTGAGACCAGCCTGGGTGAACAACAAAGCAAGACCTTGTCTGAAAAAAAAAAAATTAAAAAATTAGCCAGGCATAGTGGCATGTGTCTATAGTCCTAGCTACTTGGAGACTAAGGCAGAAGGATTGCCTAAGCCCAGGAGGCTGAGGCTGCAGTGAGTCATGACCATGCCACTGCATTCTAGCCTGGGTGACAGAGTGAGACCCAGACTCAAATATATATGTGTATGTATTTATATGTAGTGAGCACTATCGATTTTGTACTATTAGGAAACCTGGGAAATCAGATTAGGATAAAACATGATCTCTACTTCAAGGAATATAAAAAATGGTTGTAGAGAGAAGGCATAAAGAAATGACATGCTAACTAATACTTCGAGATCAGTTATAAAGTAACATATAATCAACTGCCAGTGTAGTATACTTATGTATATTATAAGCTCAGAGATTACTAGGGTGAAGGAACCAGGTTATGCAGTAAAAGGACAGGAAATTTTAGCCCACCAACTGGAATAAGGAAAACAAGGATAATAAATACAAAAAGAGAAAGGCCATTCAGAACTGTAAACTTACCAGCATCACCTGTGCCTGGCCATTTTGACTGGTTATTCGCCGATATTAGGGAGTTACTATTCATTATATTAGGTTTATCATAGTACTGGAGAATATACTGAGTTTTGGAGATACATCCTGAATAATCAAAGATAAAGTATCATGATGTTGGCATTATGCTAGTAGTAATTAAATGGAGGTGGTGAGTATATGAAAACCCATTATACTGCTCTTTGCTTTTCCAAATGCTTTTACATTTTCATAATGAAAAGTTTAAAAGATCACATCATTAAAAAATATGCATAGAGAAAAGACTGAAAGGAATTAAAACAAAAATCCTGTCAGTAGCTATGTTAGGGTGGAGATGATGAGTGATTCCCTCCCTCTTCTTTTCCTCTAATGGAAACGAATATTCTGCAATGTGCTTATGCTAATTTTATAATGGAAACATAATGTGAAAGCTATTGTGTAAACCTAAAAACTTGACAGACCGGCCATAGATAAAAGATGTTTCAGGAGTTTTGTAAGGTGTGTCTTCTTCATCATGGAAATACTAAACATATGGGTAAAACAGTAAACAGGAAGAGCAAGTCAGGAGAACATCTCTGTCGCCACCATCTACTTCTGCTTTTTTGAGTCTTAGGCTTAGTTGCTGCTACCTCCAAATAATGACAAGTCTAGACACAATCATTTTACATGCAAAGGTCTTATGCTGGGTGTAAGCAGTGGTGACAAAATGAAGATTAAGGTGTAAGCTTTAAACTCAATTCTCTATGTGTAAAATGACATTTAAGTATCTAGAAGGAGCAAGTCATCTCTCAAATTTAGCAGTCCACGGTTCAGTGAAAGGATGAAATCTCTTCCTCTTTTCTTATTCTCTCATACACATAAACACAAGTTTTAAAAATTGCTTCACCTAGCCGGGCTCGGTGGCTCAGCCTGTAATCCCGTGCCTTTGGGAGGCTGAGGTGAGTGGATTGCCTGAGCCCGCGGGTTCGAGACCCACCTGGGCAGAAAGACCTCATCTCTACAATAAATCAAAAAATCAGCCGGGCGTGGTAGTGCGCGCCTGTAATTCCGGCTACTAGGAAGGTTGAGGCAGAAGGATCGCCGGAGGCCAGTAGGTCGAGGCTGTGGTGGCCGGGAACAGCCACTGCACTCCAGTCTGGGCAACAGAGTGAGACTCCAACTCAAAAAAAAAAAAAAAAATTGCTTCACCTGGGTGATGAAGAGAGACTCCGACTCAAAAAAAAAAATTGCTTCAAACTCACGGTGGGCCACCTATGGCTGTGAAACACTATTTTCTCAGTAATTCCCAGTTCATGTGGAATAGACACTAAGACTAAGACATTTTGAAATTTGCTTTAGTCATTCTTTATACAAGAATTAAGAACATGGCCATTGCCTTGTTAGACTCTGATATGGCCATGTGCTCCTTGAGCTATGGCTGGCACCATGCTTCCCGGCTTTGGCCCCCTCCCCTACCTTGGGGAGGTGAATCTCCTCTTTCTCTCAATTTGCTTTCTAAATAAACTATATTCTCTAATCGAACCTCTGTGCTTGCCTCTGAGTGACAGCCCCCTTTCCAATCTGTGAAAGATGAATAATAAACTTTACTTCTTTCTACTTGCTTTAAAAAAAAAAAGTAAGAACACTACCAGCATATACATGACAACATTTTTTACAAAATTTCTCAACATTCCATAAATATGTAAAATTCTGTAGAAGTCTAAAACTCACTGTAATGTGTTCAGAATTGGAAAAACACTATTTCCAGCTCCACAGCCAACCTGAAATCAAAAGAATAAACAAATATCATAACAACAAGGTTAAGTTTTTATCACCTGTGTCAGATTTTTCTTTTTAAAATTAATTAATTAAAAATTTTTTTTTTGTAGAACAGGCTATGTTGCCAATGCTGGTCTTGAACACCTGACCTCAAGCAATCCTCCCATTTTGGTCTCTCAAAGTGCTGGGATTACAGGTGTGAGCCACTGCTCCTGGCCAGAGGTTTTTTCATTAGCAGACAACAACAACCACCAAGAAGAAATTTACTGGCTCTCTGGGTAGAGTTTTCTAAACTCAAAAACAATGAAATAAATCATAAGAATAACACTGAAAAATTTGACTATGGAAAAATTTAAAAGTTTTACACACAAAAACTCCAAATAAACCAAACTAAAAGGTGATCAACACATTGTGAAAAAAATTTGCAATAAATATGATAAAATGCAGGGCTTATTTACAAAACAGATAAGCAAAGGAAATAAATGAACAAAATGAAACAAGTACAAATGGCTTCTAAACATTTGAAGAACTAGCTGACCTATTTAGACATCAAAGAAATGCAAATTAAAACAAGGTACAATTTTTATCTAACAAAGTGGAAAACACTAAAATAAGAACATTCCAGTCAATGAGGGTGTGATGAAACAGACATATACTGTCATGGAATTGGTATTCATTTAGCTTTTAGAATGTGAGTTGGCAATTTGTTTTAAGAGTACTAAACATTTTGGCTGGGTTCGGTAGCTCAGCCTAATCCCAGCACTTTGGAAGCCCGAGGCGAGTGGATTGCCTGCGCCCGCGGGTGTGAGACCAGTTCAGGAAACTTGGCAAGACCTTGTCTCTACAATAAATCAAAAATTAGCCAGGCATGGTAGCGCGTGCCTGTAGTTCCAGCTGCTTGGAAGCCTGAGGTGGAAGGATCACTGGAGCCCAGCAGGTTGAGGCTGCAATGGCCAGGAGCGTGCTACTGCACTCCAGTCTGAGCGACAGAGTGAGACTCCAGCTCAAAAAAAAAAAAAAAAGAGTAGTAAACATTTTATGGTAGTGATGATGTTGTGTAGGAGCTGTGACTCGAAGCCTTCTGGACTCTAGCTGGCAGCTGATTAAGAAAGAAAGTTATGGTTAATAATGAAAAAAAAATAACCGTAGGCCATGTATTGTACAACATGGTGACAATATATAGATAATAACAATATATTGTATTCTAGAAAAATGCTAACAATAGATTTTAGTGCTCTCTCCACAAAAAATAAGTATGAGAGGTAATGTATATGTTAATTAGCTCAATTTAGTCATTCCACAATATATCTGTATTTCAAAACATCATGTTGTACACAATAAATATATACAACTTTTATCAACTAAAAAAGGAGTATTAAAAATTTTTATAAATTATGAACTAGTAAACCCAAGACAATAAAGGAAAATGCAGTTAAAGTCTATACCCAAATGTGTTGCTTCAGAAAACCTGAAAATAATTTAAATGCCTAGTGTGAAAATAGATAAATAAAATTATGGTACTCCACACAGTAAAACATTTTGCAGCCACGAAAATGTGTTTAAAGACAGGAAAAACGAGCCAGGTGCAGTGGCTCAAGCCTGTAATCCCAGCACTTTGGGAGGCTGGGGTGAGAGGACTGTCTGAGTCCAGAGGTTTGAGACCAGCCTGGGCAACTTGGTGAGACTTTGTCTCTACAATAAATAAAAAAATTAGCCAGGTGTGGTAGTGTGCACCTGTAGTTCCAGCTACCTGGAGGGCTGAGGCAAAAGGATTGCCTGAGCCCAGCAGGTCAAGGCTGCGGTGGCCATGAGCATGCCACTGCATACCAGCCTGGGCGATGGAGTGAGACTCTGACTCAAAAAAAAAAAAAAAAAAAAAAAGACAGGGAAAATTACTTATGATACAATATTAAATAGAAACAACCAAGAAACCCTTCAAATACATGTACATTAAAATCAAAAGGAAAAACAAATCAGTAAAATGTAAATAGTAACTAAACCCTTTGTGGGATTGTGGATAATTTCATTTTTCTTATCTACTCATTAGCAAAGTCTCTGTAATCAGTATACATTCCCTTTATAAACAGAAAGACAGGGTTTAGCTTTAAAAATAGAAAACCAAGGTCTATATTAGATTATAGCAAATTGTATATCTCACTTATTTCTATTTCATCTAAAAAGGAGTAATACAGAGAGATTAAAAATTAAAGCCAAAACTTCACTGGTAACTTAAAAATGCCCTCAAATTAAAATGAAAACAGACAATTTTTTTTTAAAAAGCAGTAATGAAAATGAAATCAAAACCACAAACTTATCACTTGACTAATTAAAGATTTGAGTCTCTTAAATATTACTTATGTACAAGTGTATACTGAACATTTATTTAATCATTTTCCACCAAAAAATCTAAATTGCTAGTAAAACAATATGGAATGTACATTTTCAAATTATTTGTCACTTCTCATCTTTGCCTTTGAGTATGGTACCTCTAGTATTCTGAAAGTGGCATTGCTCCCAGGAAACAATTCAGTCTTCAGAGGTCCTTTCCTGGGTTTTTCAGAGTCCAGTCTGGAAAAATTAGATTCTGCTTTGTTTTGACTATCTGAAGGTCTAGAATGTTTCTTATAATGAATTTTTTCTTCAGGCATAGTAAGGCAGTGCATTCTTGAGAAACAATTTGCAGCATTAGTTTTTACATGACCCCATGATGATTCTTCTGCCTTCTCTTTAGTTTTTTGATCAACTGGAAGAATTTCAGGAAATTCCCTCAACAGCCAATTACGATCCTTGAAAAACTTATTCTTATGAATCTTGTAAAATGTGTTCCAGTATTTACTAGCTTCACTCTCATACTTAACTAAAAAAAGAAGAAAAAAGATCTATTTTACTATGAATTATATTTACTATTAACAATTATTTAATAATTAAATATATGTAACAATTAAATATGGTTAGATATATACACTATTTATAACTCATAACAATTATATTCTCTATTGAATAATTTTAATATTATTAAAATAATTTTAATATGTCTGATAAAAGGTTAAAATTGCAGAGTTTTAATTTTCTCAAAATGTGTTAACGTGTGGGATACTTAGCCTTACTCCCATAAATCTGCTTCTATCTTAATAGTTTGGCCGATACATTTTTGTGAGGAATGTAATAATTGCAAACTACTTTCTACAGTCTAATCTTGTTATTTTAACAATTACATTGTTACCAATAACCTGGCTTTTTATTATCGTAGAAAAAGGACACCTCATTTCTTATGTCTTTACAAATGCAATTTCAATATGACACGTGCAAATTGGTGATCATACAGGAAATTGCACTTATACATGAAATAATTTTAGAGATAGAGAGGTCCAGTGAAATAGTCTACTCCAACCTCTTTGTTTTTGCATTTGAAGAAAGGACCTGCACTCACTTGTTCTAGATCCTAGTGCCCCATCACAGTAAAACCATGACCATGCCTCCTGACTCCTGGAGTCTGAAGGCCATCCTATAACTCCATTCTTCCCCACCTCCTACTGATATCTCCTAACATGAAGTCTTAAAGAAAATTTCTGATGTCTTCTTAAAATATGCATTTTGTGATATCATCCCAGGTTCCAGTGTCAGAGTTAGGTTAACAGCTTCAGAGCTTCAAGCAATTCTTAACTGTCTGTCTCTTCCTATCTGTACCTTAAATTAATAAATTAATTCATTATCTTCCTCATTCATTCAACAAACATTTCTTAAACACTATTATAATCCCTAGACCTAAATCATGGATTAGGAATTATTTTAGCCCACTGTGGACACGTGGTATTTTTAAAGGTACTTTCAAGAATGTAAACGCTTGCTTTCTATGACAGAATAATTACTTTTTTTTTTTTTTTTTTGAGTTTGAGTCTTATTCTGTCACCCAGGCTGGAATGCAGTGGCACACTCACGGCTACCGCAGCCTTGACCTGTTGGGCTCAGGCGATCTTTTTGCCTCAGACTTCCAAGTAGCTGGGTCTACAGGCGTGAGCTACCACGCCCGGCTACTTTTTTGATTTATTGTGGAGATGAGGTCTTACCATGTTGCCCAGGCTAGTCTTGAACCCCTGGTCTCAGGTAATCTTCAGTCTCCCAAAGTGCTAAGATTACAAGTATGAGTCAGCATGCCCAGCCAATATAGAATAATTTATAAGATTTAGTGTTAGGTGAAAAAGCAAGGTGTATACAATGTGTAAATTCTGCAACCGTTCAGAAGAAGGAAAAAGAAGAGGAGGAGGAGAACAATGATGACGACATATGTGCATGCATAGAAAATACACACACACACACACACACACACACACACACACACACACAAATTTGCTTGTATAGGTACAAGGTACTTCTGGAAGGATAATCACATAATTAGTAATACTGGTTGCCTCTAAGGAGGAGAACTGAGTGGCTGTGAATCATGGTTTGAAGGAGAATTTTCATTTGACTTTTGATCCATGTGAATTTACTATCTATTCCACAAATAAATTAAACTACAAATAAAAATAAGGAACTCATTTCCTTCATAATTTTAAAGAAGCCCGCATCCTCAGAACAAGCAATTGTCTGTAGTCAGATCATCTTTGTTACAAAGCCCTGTCCTGAGGCCCTTACATTTTTCCTTTTCTTCTTTCCAATTTTATCTTTATGGCCTTGTACATGGATCCCCACCCATCTGGCCACAAGACTTCCTTCCCATGAAGGCTGAATTGTAACTGGCAGCAGAACAGCTATAAAGACAGAAACTCCCATCAGTATTTAAGGTCTGAGAAATGAAAGTGAATCTCTGTAACAAAAGAATTATGTGATGTTAAGTTCAAAACATGCTCACCTCTGCACTAATGGAAAAAATCATATTTATGGTTAATCTAAAACTGTGTATTTATCTTTAAAACAGTTCTATCTCCACTTTTAAAAACTGGAGTGTACCTGATATACTGTATAAGAAAACAACGACATTCTGAAAATCAGACTCAGGAGAAATGAGAAAACTGTCAAATTTCCCCAGGGTCTTCTCATACCCTCCGTACTTCCTGTACCTTAAAAACTCTCTTTGTAACTCACTCCATGCAGATAAAAGATTTTCTGCCTAACAAAAAGCAGTCACCTAAGAAGACCTACATTCAGTCAAATCTCTAGTATTTGAGTTTCCAATATCAAGCTACTTGTGAAGTGAGTTTGAGCCTAACTACCAGTAACTAGAATGTACTGAAATACTATACCTTCATTAATTTGTGGGAATACAGTTCTATGAATTAACTGGGGTGGGGGGGTGCAGGGGAGTAAACTGATACAAAGATGTGCATAGCAGTCTTGCTTATATCAGGAAATAACTCAAATGCCCAACAACATGGGAATGAGTAAGTAAACCATGCATGTTAAAACAGGGTAACTTTGGGTAACAACTTAAAAATAAAGAATAATAATATTAAGAGAAAATACACAGAATATACATTCTGTACATAGCATTTATACTGATGGCAGCTCTAAAATTTATTTTATATTCATTCATAGCAATCAGATGAAAATTTGGAGCAATGATAATAATTAAGAAGATGATAAGAAGAGCTATTAGGTAGCTCTTCTTTTGCAAAGATCTGTCTTACACAAATATAAAGAATCTTTGGCCGGATGTGGTAGCTCATACTTTCTGTAATCATAGTACTTTGAAAGGCTGAGGCCAGGAGATTGAGACCCTGTCTCTACAAAAAATTTTTTAAAACTTTATTTGGTTGTGATGACTCGTTCTTGTTCCTAGCTACTTGGAAGCCTGAAGTGGGAGGACCACTTCAGCCCAGGAATTTAAGGCTACAGTTAGGTATAATTGCACTCCAGCCTGGGCAACAGAAAGAGAGTCTTACTTCAAAAAAAAAAAAAAAAAAAAAAGAATATTAGCTGAATTCTTCATTCAACTTGCCTACAAAGTTTCCTCATTTGATGAGGGGAACTGAATTAGAGTAGTATCGCTAATGTCTGTTTAAAGCTCTAAAAATTATTTGTACTTTCCTATTAAGCCCCATGAATTTATGGAGTACATTAAATATTATCAGTTCTACACACTATAAAATCTTGGATAAGATTGCTGTTTTAAACATGAGTCCGTACTACTGTTTTAATTTTTACAATCTAAAAAGAAAATGAATCTGTAGTGACGTGACTGCAATCTGGTTTCAGATACCAAACATATCAGGCATTTAAATTCAACTCTAGCTTATGCAATTTATAAAAAGAACTTGATTACTATTAGAAGACAATAGTCAAGGTTTGCTAATATATATATTTTAAGCCCTTGTCAATTTCCTATCCAGGGCTTAGGAGAAAAAAAACCCAAGCAATTACATAAGTCATTACACCAATAAAAGTAGCATTAAAAATGACAACGATAACACACATCAGGTGTTTATTATGGGCCAGGCACTATGTCAAATACTTTACTTGGATTTTTTTCATTTAATCTTAACAATATCTCTCAGGCATTATTATTCCAGTTTTACAGATCAAGAAATTCAAGGTCAGAGGAGATAAAAAATTTCCCCAAGGTCACCCAGCTAGAAAGAAGAGAATCAAAACCTGGATCAAGTCTGTCGAACTCCAAAGCTTTTGCCCTTATTCTTGACACCACACTGCTCCCTAACACAAAGTCAATAGTCAACACAAAATATCTCTGAAAATAACCTCTGATTTTCTGATTCTTACTTTCTTCTCAAGTATGAGGCGTTAAGTTGAAATTAAAACCTCAGTGTGGCTTACAATCTGTATGAATAAGTTGTAAAAATAATGCTGACTGGAGTTAGCTTTCATTAAAACAGATCAGAAATACAGAATTAATTAAAGAATACTCTTTGAGTTACATGAAATATAAACTATATAAGATTATTTGATGAACAATAGGAATATAAAATGGTCTATGAGAATAGATGAGTTTGTGGGACAGAATCAAAACCAAGAAGCAGCACCAGTGGTTGAAATTTGTTTAACTTTTAAAAGTTGTGCTTTCAGCAGTATCTCCAACCAATGCTGCAATCAATTCAAGGAATCCCCAATCAATAGTTCTCAGTAACATGTGACAGCTTCTAAGACCTACAGAAACTCAGTCAAGCTCATTATAATTATGATTATGAGACAACAAACACCTTCAGTGTATTATTTAATTTTCTGAACTGCAAGGGTATTCATAACAGGGGAATTGGAGGAGTTACTGCTCTGACCATGAGTAAAAATCATTTAGTTTCAAGTTGCTGTTAACTTATCACAAGTCAGGTCAGTAATGATAAAAAATAAATATATAGTGTAGAGAAAGCTGTCTTGTCTTCATCTTGTCTAACTGAACTTCTAAACAGGTGTATTAATGATACATTTTTCTTGGATGAACTTTTTTTTCTTTTTTCTTTCCTAGGTTGGCAATTCATAGCTGCTCTATGGCAGGAAAAAGGTGTAGTGATCTGTTTAACCACAGCCAGAAGAAGCAACTTCTCAATTATTCACTTATTAAATTCAGTACTGGTGAGAGGAAGAAGGAATGTGGCACATGAGCCATATTTAAATATTCAGAAATCACTCTGAATCACACTGAGCATCACAACCCAAGAAATTGAATTAAACCATTTATGTTTGACATACATGATAAGATTAATATAAATTATAAAAAATTTATTCTAAGTTGCAATGTAACAAAAAGCAATTTAAAGTTATTTTTGCACATCATGAAAATACCTGAGCTCTCAAAGTTGAAAATTTCCACACATCACTGATAAAGTTCATTGTTTAATAAAAAACAAAACTCTTAAACTTACAAAATTGAAAGTGTATTTCTGAGAGCAATGCATAAAACTTTAA